CGAACCCTCGGCGGGAGCGCCACCGCACTCCCAAGCGGCTCACTGTAGCAGTGCGCCACCGGGCCGGCCCAGAAATTTTAAAAATTAAAAAAAAAATTACAAAAAATGAGAAAAGGAATGAGCCTGGTCTTTTGGGGAGTAAAGTCGAGTGGACTGTACACATTAGTGGTAAGTACTATCACCACCATTATCTCAGTGAGAAATGAAGGCTAGGAGAATTGGCCCAGAAATTTTAAAAATTAAAAAAAAAATTACAAAAAATGAGAAAAGGAATGAGCCTGGTCTTTTGGGGAGTAAAGTCAAGTGGACTGCACACATTAGTGGTAAGTACTATCACCACCATTATCTCAGTGAGAAATGAAGGCTAGGAGAATTTAATCATCAAGAGTGTGATCACTGGAGTCTGATTAAATCAACTTCAAATCCCAACTCTGCTTTCACTAGCACCTTAACCTTAGGCAAACGATTCAACTACCTCAAACTTCAGTTACTTCAAATGGAAAATGGGAAGACAATTCTACTTCCTAGGACTGTTATACAGAAAAATGAGATAAGGAATATTAATATGCCATTAGCATAGTCCTGTCATATAAAATGTCTGCCACCCTCTAGAATGTCTCTGAAATAATGTTGACTGCTGGTATTAAAATACACACCCAGCTGAAAACTCTTTAATGCAAATGAGATGAAAACATCTAGCCCTGGCATATGGAGAATGGCAAAAATCAGACTGTATCACTCCCTTATTTGGGAATGTTAACCACACCTTTCTTCTTTATTTCCCATAGCCCCACTCTCAATCTGCCATCCATATCCCTCCCCCTCCTCAGAAAACTCACTCTGAATATTCAGTTAATGACCATGGTACTAACACTTTTTAATTAAAGCAACATGTCCTTACAGATACATTCCTCATACTCAAAGCTAACACTGTGCTTGAAACACTATAGAACTTGCCAAAGAATTTGCATGTCAATAACAATAAAACAAATACAGACTACAATGTGAAAATAGAGCTCTGAACAGTAAAACCATGGGATTTGGGGGGAATAGGAGTAGAGTTGCTCTGAGCAATAAAAATTGAGACTGATGAGTCACTTTTCATTCTGATACAGGCTCACTAGTCAAAATACTGTAAGCGAAACCATAGCCACTGTCCATCCTTCTCAGAGATGCTCCTTCCTCACTCAATACTGTCGTCCTTCCTAGAAAGCTTTATTTCCCTTACAATAAGTTGCACTGAATTCCAGGTTACTTATGATCACTTCTTACTAGTCGTCAGTGTTTGCCCTTACAGAATTTCATGTTAGTGCTAAAATTATTTGAGGTCTACTATAAACATTCTATTATATAGGCAAAGTATCTTGGAATTTATAAAGATGAATCAAATGATAGTTTTGTTTTACAGTTAATAAAAGCAGAGTCAGCAAATTATGGCCAGAGAGTGGGTCTGGTCATACCTACTTGTTTATATATGGTTTGTGGCTGTATTTGCACTGTAACAGCAGAGTTGAGCTATTTCTACTGAAACTATCTATGTGTCTTCCAAAGCCGAAGATATTTAATACCTTGACTGTTTACAGAAAAAGTCTGCCAACCCCGAAAATAGAAGGTGCAGGTACAAGAAAAATTCCCAACTTTACTAAATGCCAATTAAAAAGCTATAAATAATTCCAGGAGTTCAGAAGGTGAAGAGGTCACGTTCAACAAGGTCATTAAGAGAAAACTTTTCAAGCAGGTGCCAAGAGAAATAGGACTAGGAGGATTATGTGGAAGGGTTAAAAACTTATGGGCAACAAAAAATGACATCAATACATGAAGGAAAGTAAAAGCAAGATAGAGGATGGAGCTTGCCATTTAATTTACACATAAACTCTCTTAAGATGATTTACAAAGGTCTTTTCATGTTTAGCATTTTTCTAATCTGCACATACATTTTATACAAATCATTTTCCATATGCCCCTAGGATGTCTCTTAATTATATGCTTGCTTTCTAGTTGGTAACCCCACTCTAAATAGACAAGCTCAGAGGTAAAAATATGGTGACAAATAAACATTATAATTAATGGCATTCTCTGAAACTGTACCATAATTTAACCTTCATCTTTTCTGTTATTTGATATTTCACATTTATTCAACACCAAAATAATGAGATATCCTTTTCTTCCAAGACAACGTCACTCGACTATGCAATATATTAATCTGCAAAGACTATTACTGTTTCTCACATCATTTGTATAATGTTCCTTTTCTCCAAAGTTCCATAAGTCATAAAAGCTAGATGTATTACAGGAATTCTAGTCCTAAAGAACAAAAAATTATTTTGCATAAAATCAGAAAGGATATTTTATATTAAGAAGTCTAGGAAAATTATTTCAAAAAGCTTCTGCAAACTAAGTTTCCATCAAAAAAGAATTTATTGCAGAAAGAAAATTTACATTTTCTTATGTGAATATATAAAAATATCTTATGCTCTGTACTAAAATCTGCAGTCAAATTACCTTTTAGCCAGTTGTCCAGATAGCTACATTTTCATATTCCACTTTACATACTTACAACCTAGGAGAACCATAAACTGTAGTTTTCAAAAAAAAGACAACAACGTTTATAGGAGAAAATAACCATCTTTCTGACAAATAAGCAATTCTTGACCTGTGAAAGAATGAGCCATAACATATAAAACATTAAGTAAATTTTTAATTAAAATTTTAAATGAAACTTTTTAAGTGCAAATTAAACAAAGGGAGGAGGAAGAATAAAAGGGAAGGAGGGAGGGAGAGAGGAAAAAACCCCCAAAACCTTCTTAACTGAGACAATTAATGCAAATTCATATAACTGCTGTTCTGATGTGAAGATATGAAGGAAAAAAAATGTCTTAAACTCAAAGACTAAAATGTTTTAACTATTTCAACATAAAATTCTTCCAGAACTCTCATAATATGTACTTAATCCTGGAATAAGCTTCTTACTTCTTATCTTATTAACAATGTATACATTTGAAAATAAATATATACAATGTTTCAAAATAAACCCTTCAAAGCCATATTTAAGCAATGATATCCAGAGAAATGAAATTCAGGCACCACGTAACATTTAGGAAATATGGTATCTTGAAGATTAAGTTTTCTCTTCCTTGTTTGGAACTCGGAAGTCTTCATTATACACAGGTTGCTTCTAAAGTGGTTTTCCTACTGAGACAAGCATCTTGATGGGTCAAATCCAGTTTCATTTTCTCCAGTACTAGAAAAATTAAGAGTAAACAAACAAAATAGTTTACTTTAGTGTTCACAAAGATAAACAATAGAGTCTATAGTTACAAAAAGACTTCCATTAAAATAGAAAGTGAATGAATTACCTTGCTAAATACCATCAAGAGGATTGCGATTAACCACACTATGTGGGATTTTTGAGGTTTGGTTCAAAACCAGCTTATAGGAGAAAATATTTGGGGCAGGGGGTGTTTGCTGACTGTAAGCTCCAGATGGCCCAATTATGACATGGCAAGCAAAAAAAATCTCATTGATCACTAGGAAGGCAAAAATTCCACTGAATTCTGCAGTGGTCAGATGATTAATATATGAGAAGTATGCTTAGTTTTTGGAAAGGCTATGAAAACCTGTAGCTTATTCCACTCATTGCAGAAATGGTCTGGAAATCAAATCAAAGGAAGCAGTACTGAAAGAACAAAAGAGGCCCAATGAAGAATTGTTTTGAGGCCAACACAGTAATCGTGTTCAATATTAAGATAAGTAGAAACAAAAAAACCCAAGATTTTTAGCAACCTCATGGTTACCTCATACAAGGCTTATAATGGTATACAGTCATGCACCACACAATGATATTTTGGTCAATGATGGACTGCATGTATGTATGGCGAAGGTCCCATAACTATTATAACGAAACTGCAAAATTTGTATCGCCTAGTGATGTTATAGCCATCATAACATCATAGGGCAATGCATTACCTTGCTCTATGATGTTATGATGGCTATAACATCACTAGGTGATAGGAATTTTGCAGTTTTGTTATAATAGCTACAGCATTCAGTAAAGTAATGTGCTGTACAGGTTTGTAGCCTAGGAGCCATAGGCTGTATCATATAGCCTAGGTGTGTAGTAGGACATATCGTCTAGGTTTGTGTAAGTACACCCTATGTTGTTCAAACGACGACAAAATTGCCTAATGACCCATTGCTAAGCGATGCATGACTGTATACATGACACTATCCTGTTTTCATTATTATCTCTCAAGTTTAGCATTCAGTAAAATTGAGAGAATGCTACCAATTAATTTTGAAGGCTATTTAATGCAAAAATAACCTGCAACAGTTAACGGTTGGTTTAACACATGAAGATGTTGTCAATTACACACTCTCTCTGCAAGAACTCTGATCATTTCATTTGACTGAATATACACTGAGTCGTCCTCACCTCACGTGTCCTTTTATTCAATAAAATATATGCTGGCATTATCTTGGAGAAATTAAGAACGCACTGTATGTGTGATAGAACTTTGTTTCTATGAACTTAATGTCATTATTACTCTTAGAGAAAAAAAAGTGAAGGGGAAAAAACCTTGCTAACAAGTATATCCATGGGTATGCATGTGTGTATACATGTAAAAATGTGGAAAATGCCAAAATTACTGATTTTAATCAGATACATTTAAAGTGGTAATTCTAGAAAAATATGGCGATTTACTTTTAATGCTAATAAAAGAAATGTAATTTACAATTAAGTGTCTATTTAAATATTTTCATTAAAGGTAATATCAGAGAAAATAAAAATAAATTTATTGAAGAAATGATCCTTGGCACTTATATAAAATCACATTCTTTTATTTATTTGATGCCTACTATGTGCCAGGAACTGGTTCAAGTTCTGTGAGAGATCCCAAAGATATTTAAAACAAAATGCCTGAGGACCTAATTAGTATATACAGAACGAGTCATAACACACACACTTTGACTCTTAAAAGTTGGGCAAATGGGTGGGGAACTCATCCCAAGCAAAGAGCAATCGTGTACTGCTTGGGAAGAAGGGGACGGGAGACTGAGTATGAGGAACTGTCATCAGGGGGTAGATCACCAGAGCTTCAAGGAAGGTTCTTTTTGAAGGCTGCTGGAAGATGATGAAGGCTGAAAAAGTAGCCAAAAGTCAAATTGTGAAGGGCCCACACTGACATGCTAGGAAGTCTAAACATCCTGAAAGCAAATGGGAAGCAATTAAAAACTGCACATGGGTATCAGTATAAGGGGTCTTCAAAAAGTTCTTGGAAAGATTCATGTTATCTCTCTTTAAAAATTTTTTTTCAGTGTACATGTTTATGGGGTACAGTTTGTTTCAATACATGCATATATTGTCTAATGATCTAATCACAATAGTTAGAATATCTATCACCTAAACATTTATAATTTCTTTGTGGTTATAACATCCAAGATTTCATATTATCTTTTAATTCCATTTTTCCATGAACTTTTTGAAGTACTCTCATATGTTTGTATGTGTGAGAAAAACGCTGATACTGAACAGATGGTCTCTAGTGCATTTCCTAAACACCCCAAAGTGTGTGCCTAAGGAAAAAAAAACATTAGTAATAGTATGTAGCAGAGCCCATCCCTAAATATTGAACTCCCTGTACATACAAAGAATTTTTATAAAAGGGTTTGATATAACGCAGAGGAGCTAGAAAACCAGTTACTAGGAAATTAACCTTACTAAAAGCAGTTATGAAGCAAACAGGCGCAAACCTTATCAAGGATTACATTCAAGTGTTTGAAAACCTTCCTAGAGAAGATAAGGAAATTAAATTTGTATGAATAAAAAATTAACTGCAGGGCATTTTAGATGAAAATTATGGGGCATTCTGCTGAGTGCTGCTAGTGCAATAATTAACTAATTTTAAGACCTTGAAACATTTGTCATGCAGCAAGTGCCAGCATTATTTGTTTTTAAAACATTATATGTTTTAATGGGTAGTTGTGCAGCAGTGCTGACTGCAGAGCAACAAGAGAGCACATGTGGGTCAATGAAATCCAAGACTGGTTTTGGCCAATGTGCAAAGTAAATGTTATCCCATATCATATTTATCTTGGAATCAGTGTCCCCAGTGACTCCTTTATATATCATATTCTCTTGGCTGTTCAGGCAGCTGATTTTTTTTTTTCCCCTTTGGTCAGATGAAAGATTAAGGAGAGAAAAGTTAAAAGATCATTTTTAAAATTTACAAGTTAATTTATTTACTAACTAGCATCTACTTCTGCAACCCAGAGTTTGTGCTTGAATCTGGGCTTTGTCACTATTAGTCCCATTTTTCTCAGCTGTCAAACAGGCTTGGTGATACAACTATTTCACAGGTGCGAGAGTTAAATGAGGTGACGAAGAGAATGCACTTTACGTAATTCCTGGCACATTTAAATGTTCAACAGGCTGTTGTTATTACTGTTATTATTGTTTTCTTTGTTGTTGTTATTATTCCTCCCGGGATAATTTATCTAAGTTATGGATAGATCTCAGAAACAATGATAAGAAAAAATTGTTGATGATATGATATGATATGATATATATGATGATGATTCCAATATGATATACTGGAATTATGTTATTTATTTAAGCCATTAGGGGAATGAGCTGGCTCTTGATATATATAATGATGATTTCAATATGACATACTGGAATTATGTTATTTATTTAAGCCATTAGGGGAATGAGCTGGCTCTTTAGAAAATTATTTACCAAATTTAAAAAAAAAATGGTTTTAGAGAAAACAAATTTCTATTTGGACATAGAATTCAATATGTTATATGATGATGATTCCAATATGATATACTGGAATTATGTTATTTATTTAAGCCATTAGGGGAATGAGCTGGCTCTTTAGAAAATTATTTACCAAATTTTAAAAAAAAAATGGTTTTAGAGAAAACAAATTTCTATTTGGACATAGAATTCAATATGTTTTGTTTTGTTCAATAAAATATTTTACATTAATATTATTCATTACTAATGGCAAAATGAAGTTCATATACAGATAGTCTCCAACTTAACAATGGTTCACCATAATTTTTCAACTTTATGATGGGGGAGAAGTGATAGGTATTCAGCAGAAACCATACTTCAAGTACCCACACAACTATTCTGTGCTTCACCATCAGCAGAGTATTTAATAAATTACATGAATTATTCAACATTTTAGTATAAAACAGCCTTCATATTAGATGATTTTGCCTAACTGTAGGCTAGTGTTAGTGTTCTGAGTACACTTAAGGAAGGCTAGGCTAAGCTATAATTTTTGGTAGGTCAGGTGTATTAATTGCATTTTTGACTTAATATTTTTAACTTACAAGAGGTTTATCAGGAGGCAACCCCATCATATGATCAAGAGCATCTGTAATGGAAACTCAGATGTGATTCTCTATCCTCTTCTTTTTAGGTCATTGTTTTGCATTTATGAAGTAGGATGGAAACCTGATGTTCCAAACAGATTTTAGTTATTATACAGAGAGTGATATTGTTTAAAGTGGCAAAATAAGGGGAACTAAGTATAAAGGGAGACTATGTATTAGCCATACTGAACAAGATTAGCTTTTTGGCTTTGTACATGGCTATTAAAGTAGTCAACGTTATATGAGTTTTAACTTTATGAAAAGTATGAGTAAGACACTTAAGTAAAAACGATTTAAAACTAGAGAGCATTCCATGTTCTCCAGTCTGGCTTGCAAGAGGGAACACAAGAGCAGAAAGGTGTTCAATTTGCAAAGAGGAATTCAGTTTTATTGGCAATTTATATAAACAGGGAAGTTACAAAAAAGCACAAACACAGAGTATGAGGCAAAAGTGGACACCAAAGGGGAAAAAAAAAAAACTGGAAAGCTGGTATGAATCAAGTAACATTATAAAAACAAAACACATACACAGAAAGAGCTGTACTTACATTTAACATATGAGTACTAGCAATGCTTTAAACCTGCAATAGTGTAGATCTATTTTGCATCTACACACTCATGCATCTATGTCACAGCTAAAGACTAAATGCCATTTAATATTTGCAGTGGGAAATAATAAATTCATAAACTTGGGTTTTATGAACCTTTTTTATTAAGGTCAATTATATGTTTGTTGAAGATGGTATGTTCTAATTAGAAAATAAAGGTACATTTTATTTTCTACTTATCTGCTCACTTACAATCAGGAACCCAAAATAACACATGTCTAGGTATACAAACTTTAAATAAAATTAT